GGCGGTCCTCTGTCAGCATGCCATACATGGCGATTGCTACGGCCAGGTCCCTTGGGTCTGAGCACAACAACTCAAAATGAGCTGTCAAGTCTTCCAGGGACTCAAACCGCCAGCGACCCAAGCACGGTGGAAGACTTACCTTCCCGTGACGAAGGATCACTATGCAGCACAAAGCCAAGGCCAGCATCGCACCATCTTTCAACATGACTCCGGAAAAAAGTCAAAGCCTATTAAAGTTCATCGCATGTCTGCCTGAAATTCAAGTCACTTCACTTGACGATTGTTTATGAAGTCTGCAGGAACTTGCTTCTCCAGCAACAAGTCTAAGAAGCCGCAAGAACCCTTGATCTCATGAATGGGGCATGGTTGGCTCGAGTCGCCTGGAGTGTGCCGCGCATGCACTTGACCAGCTCGGGCTAACTTGTGCACCCAGCCTCAAGGCATTCACTTGCAGGGTTACGGACTTACAGTGGCAAGTCAAGTGAAAACCCTGAACTGACCGCAATCTACCTCAACATAACCTTTCCGAAACCTTTTTTTTCCCTGGAACAAAAACACGAAATCCCGAAAAAAACGAGTCGAAACCACCCCTGTTCGTGAACCCGCTGGGAAAACCCTAGACCTTTAACTACCATAAGAGCCCCCGAGCCTCAACACGACCCACAGCGAATCCCTAAGGATGACGACTACGCCCCGGGTGAGGATTTGGGGACCTGGGCATATCTCCATAACGGCGCTTGCCGCCACGGCGGGCAGGACGATGGGAAGAGTGCCTCGGCGTACTTGTTTAGGGCCGCGGCCCTAAACCCTAAACCCCTAAACCACTAAACCCTAAGCCCTAAGCAAAAAAGGGATTCTTGGGGCTTCAGGGTTGAGGGCTTTGCAGTTTCAGGAATTAGGCCTTGGAGGAGTCCACTTTGCTTGGAAGGCTCGCGGGTAGCCAGAAGTCTAGTTAGGAACAGTACCAGATTTAGGGTTATAAGTTATACACATACTTATAAATACCTGGATCGGGGTTGCAGTTCGAATATAATGAGGGATGTATGTCGTGATGAATCTAGACACCTGACTTCGAACCCTACTTAGAAAGTCCCTCTCATGCTCTAGGTGGGAAATCACTACGCCCTAGACTCGAAATCCTACACCTCAAGAAGAGGTGCAGTATCGAAGCAAGCGCTAAACCCCGAAACCCTAAACCGTAAGCCCTAAACCAACCCTAAACCCTAAACCCTAAGCCCAACCCTAAACTCTAAGTGCCACCAGGTGCCGCTTGGAAGGACGGCATCGTCCTTTGTGTCGCTGTGGACTGCGACGCCGGCTCTGTGCAGCAGGGGGGCCCAGACTGGTCTTGGCTCTCCGGGAACCCAGGTATGGATGCTGCAGATGGTTTAGGGTCTAAGGGTATTGGATTTAAGAGTTAGGCTTCAAGGGTAATGGTGGACGATTTACGGTTTGAGGCGTGAGGGTTTGGGGTCCCAAGCTCTCTCACCGCTGTGAAACCATCACGAGGTGCTGCGACTTTGTCGAGTTCTAGCTGGCTTCAAGAGTAAGCCCAAATCCGGAGCCCTTGCACCCCCAACCTTAGCCCTAGTCCTTCTGACGAAAAACTGCCTCTACTGCATCTGCCACTAACCGGCAGCTCAGGGTGGCAACGGTGGTTGCTCGGCCGCGTTTCGGAGTACGTTCAACCGTACTATCGTCATGGAGCAGAATGCACCAAACAGGGCGGAATGCTCTGTAACTGAAACGAGTATGTCAGTATACAGAGAGCTATCAACCAATAAGTCAATGGACACGAGCACGTACAGCTAAATACGTGTACAAGTATAAGCAAGCAGCCGCACATGCATGACAAGCAAATAAAGGACTGGCCCAAACCCGCGCTGGACCATATAGAGGCCCAGACAGTAGGATGCCTTTTTCTCGGCGGATGTCTAACAAGGGATCCCTCCACCCTAAACCGTAACCGCTAAACGTGAAGCACATTGAGGGCTTTGACGGCTGAGGACAAGCCTTCCCCCAAAACCCAAAGCCCTAAGCCCCAAGCCTTTGAACCTTAAACTCCCAAATCCTAAGCAACGGAGCTAAAACCCTCTGAGGACAAGCCCCCCGCCTTCAAGGGACCCCTCCCCCATACCCCAAAGCCCAAAACTCCTAAACTCTAAACCCTAAACCCTAAACCCTAAACCCTAAAACCCTAAAGCCTAAAGCCCAAAGCCCAAAGCCCAAAGCCCAAGCCCTAAACTTCAGCGTTTCACTGAGGACAAGCCTGCCTTCGAGACGCTGCTGCAGCTGCTGGGTTCTTGTTAGGGGATTTTTTATTTTAAGTTACCATACCGGGGATCTGGGCATTTTATTTCAGCTACCATACTGGGGATCTATAGTAAATAGTATGGTTTCGTTATTAAGGGGACTTTTATTTAAGTTACCCTAAATGGAGATCTATAGTACATTTAAGTTACCATAATGGGGAGCTATAGTACATTTCAGTTACCATAATGGGGAGCTATCGTAAATTCAAGTTACCATAAAGGGGGATCTATAGTAAGTAGTATGGTTTCTTTATTCTGTAACTTAAGTTAAATCCCCGAACAAGAGCCCAGGCTGGCGGCCGAGGAGTTGCCCTCCGAAGTGGGTTTGCCACTGGTGGCGGCTCGGGCCGGAAATGGCTTCGGATGGGGCGGACGTTCAGTTAGGGTTCAGGGTTCAGGGTTCAGGGCTAGTTTGTTAGTTTCGGGGTGTTTAGGGCTTAGGCGTCGCAGTCCCAAAGCCCATGAACCCTGGACCCAAAGTCGCCCGGCGTGGGCTTGGGGGCTTTGGGGTTTTCAGTGAGTTCAGCGAGTTCAGGGTTGAGGGCTTTCGGGTTTTAGGTTTTTTTGGGGTTTCGAACTTTTGGGTGTCTGAGTTGAGGAGTGGGCTATTCCAGTGCCCTGCAGGACGTCACCAGGGCGCCGGGGTTCCGCTTGCGCCACAGAGCCCAAAATGTGTGCGTTCTCGGAGTCTAAGCTAGGCCGAAGCAAACCCAATCAGGGGAGATAGGGGGTTGCTCGCAGTTCTTGTCCTTCCTAGGCGCTCGTTTGTTGGCTGCCTCAAACTCTTATACACCAGGATACGAACCAGCAAGCCGCTTGCGGAAGTTCTACGAAATTGGAGTCGAGCAGAGCGAAGTGGATTTGACCAAGTTTCGCCCTGTACGCTCTGTGGAACGGAACCCTTGCTCTTTTAGCGAGTTGGCGGTGGGTCAACACAACTGAAGTGAAACCCAAACCCTCAACGCCAAACCCTAAAGCCTAAAACCTTAAACCCGAAACCCTGGGCCCTAAAACCTTAAACCCTAAATATGCAAACCCTAAAACCTTAAACCCTAAACCTTGCAAACCGTCAAACCTTAAACCCTAAAGCCTTAAACAATAAACCTGCAAACCCCAAAACCTGAAACCCTAGAGCCTGAACCCTAAAACCTAAAACCCTAAACCCAAAACCCCGAACCCTAAAATCTTAAACCCTACACCCTGATCCTTCAGGCGCTGCTGTCACCGGGAGACAAGGGCGCCATGACTGTGAACCTTTGTCATAGCTGGGTACCATTTTACATGTTTATGGTACTTAAAACCCAAGAAAGAACAGAAATTATAGTTTTTATGGTACTTAAGCCCAAGAAGGAATAGACATTGCAATCTTCAATGTTATCCCAACCATGAACTAGGAACATGGGACAGCAGCCTTTCAAGCTTCAGCCGCCCGACGCTCGCCTGCAGAGTGGACCGTGCTTACAGGGTGTCGGAGCTTCAGGGATTTAGGGCTTCGGGGTGGTTTTAGGGGTTAAGGTTTCGGGTACAGGGTTTACGGAATACTGTAGGGGAGGGGCGGGGGGTTACGGAGTTCAGAGCCCAGCATGGCAGTATCCTTATCATAAGGACCCATATACCCGAAACCCTAAAGAGGGTCCCCTACGTTTTCCTGCAGCCTTCATTGAGGGGTCAAGGTTTCGTAGTTCGGGCTATGAGGGCTCGAAGAGTTTCTCTGTGCTGCTCAAGTTTCGGGTTTAGGGTGAGGGGTTAGGGTTTAGGGTTCAGGGTTTAGGGTCAAGAAGTAGGATCCAGAGTTCAGGGTTTAGGGTTTGGAAGTTCTGTCTGTTGGACTGCGAATCTAAAAAACGGATCTTTTCCCACGATGGACACCGGTCTACTGGTGGCTGTGTATATCAAACCTAAACCCTAAACCCTAAACCCTGTATCCCGAAGTCTCGTTCTAGCCCTCCAACCTTTGACCTCCCGATGTGGTTCTGTCTGGGGTAGTATGGGCAGTTCTCTAAATTGGGGGACCCAAAAAGGCATGTTTTCGGGTCCTTCAATAGACTGTGTCGGTAAGAAATTGTTCTGGGTTTGGCGGGTTTTAGGAGTTTTGGTTTAAGATGATCATCTACATTGCAGTCTGATCAAGTCAAGCCTGTTGTGAGTGTAGTTCTGTAGAAGGTACTCTGGTATGGGTGTGCGAAAATCTGGAACGCTAACAGAAACCTAAACCCTAAACTCTAAACCCTAAACCACGCGACAAACCTTGAGCCATCGGCCCCCATTTGTGGGGTCGCCAACAAGCACGGTACTCCACCACCAACCACGAGTTTGCGACAACCTACGCCGCAAGAGGCGATGCTTGCTTTGCTGGCCAAACCCTGAACACTATAAACCCTCGACCTTGGATACTGCCCGCACTCAGTAACAGTTGAGTAATATTCATCATATGGATATACATGGCCCTTAATAGTAGCCCCATTATAGACTGTTACTGTATGGGGGCAGTACCCAACCTTGACCCCAAGTCGTGATGAGGCGAAAGAATTCCGACCGATTGCCGAGCTGATGGAACTTCGGCGCCAGTGGCGCGTGCCTTGTCCCAGAGAGTCCGAAAGACGAAAAGAACGCGTGCACGAATACCCACACCTCCCTCCCCCTTCCTCCCTTCCTCCCTTGCTCCCTCCCCTCTTGCTGCCTGCCTCCCTGCCAGGCCTGCCTACATCCATCCATCCATCCATCCGTCCATCCATCCATCAATGCATGCATGCATATAGTTTCTGACATACAGTTACATACGTACATACAATTATCTATCTATACATACACACATCTGCACACCCAGAAAAGGCTCGTGAGGAAACCCCAGGCCGCCCTCAAGTCTACAAGCCGTGCGCAAATCTAGGAGCCAAGAAGATACACAGGATTCTACGTTTTGATTTCAGGGTTTGGGGATAATTTAGGGTCGTGGGTTTACGGTTGATTTAGGGTTTAGGTTTTACGGTCTGAGTTTAGGATGAGGCAGCAGTCAAATCTAAACCCTGGCCTTGTCCAGAGCGCCTCCATTCACTTCGAAGACCCCGCTGCCTGGACAGGAATCCTGTCTAACCCAGCAGAAAGAACGAACCAAGCAACAAAAGCCCAAGTTTCGGAATTCACAAGGCCAAAGCTACGGCAGTTTCGATTTCGATTATGTCCTACATCCCGAACTCAAACCACCCAAATTGCCCACCCCTACACCCTAGACCGGGGCTGAGGTACTGGAAAAGGCAGTACTTAAGGTTCCATGCTACACTCATAGGGCAGAACTTTCAATCCCTTTTTTCTGGTCACTTCGGTCTTCATACCGTGCCGTTAAACCCTAAGCCCTAAACGCGTGGTGTGACAGGACTTTCGTAAGGAGCCCTTTCTGGAAGGCCCCGACCCCTAATAAGCTGGAGGTGACACTACCGGACAACGTGGAAACGTGGCCAGTGTATGCGGCCCGGTCTGCAAGCAATTCGGGGTTCAAAAAAGGAGGTGTGGTATAGGGCGTTGGCACCTCACGGCTTAAGTCACGCAGTGCTACTCCCGGGATTGCTAAATCCTAAAAACCCTGGATGCAGGGCTTAAAAGGTAGAGGAATGTGTAACATGCATGCTTCCCGGACCCAGGGTGGCGTGAGTTTGGCAGAGTAGCCTGAAGACTTTTGCTTTCAGTTGTTGCAGTTTCCCTAAACCTTAAGCCCTGAACCCTAAACCCCAAATCCTAGGCCGTAAACCCTAAACCCTAAGCCCTAAACTCTAAACCCTAAACCCAAAACCCGGAATCCACAATCCAAGGTGAAGCCCTCCCGGCAAGCCGAGGGTGCCGAGTCGCTGCAGGCGGAGAGCTTGAAAGCCGACGAAGACTCAAAGTCTAGAGGTCTAGAGGTTTAGAGGTTTAGGGTTTAGGGGTTTAGAGGTTTAGGGTTTAGGGGTTTAGGGGGTTAGGGGTTTAGGGGTTTAGGGTTTAGGGGTTCAGGGTTAAAGGTTCAGAGCTTGGGGTGTAGGGCTTAGGCCCTAGATTCATAAACCATAAGCCATAGCCCTGGAAGGAAGAGGGTTATGCTAGCCGTACGTACTAAGTAAGAGCTGCAACAAGAGCATGCTCCTGTCATGCGGTATTGACATCAAAGAATCTCATGTTGAACCCTAAAACCCAAAACCTAAACCCTAGACGGCACAAGCCGCAAGCCCTGCCCCGAGCCTGAACCTTCGAGTTTTCAGCGACAGCGGCCTAAAAGCACCAAGACCCTTCTGGCTGAACTCCACACCAACCCCCCCGAAACCGAACGCCTCGAGCCCCAAACCGGAGGCAGTGAGCCACGATCACCCTGAGCCCTGGACCATGACCCCCAAAGCCAACGCCACGGCCAGGCCCAGTGGGGGTTCGAGGAACTGGCCACGCAGCAAGATGCGCGCCGCGGCGGCATTTTGCGGGTTTTTGTCGGGGTCGCAGGGGTTATCGAAAGGGTAGGGTTTAGGGTTTGGGGTTTGTAGGGGTCGTAGAGGCTATTGAAAGGGTCGTAATTAAGGCCAGAGCGTCGCAGGGGAGTCTTCGCATGATCTTAATGACTTGATAGGGTTTCCCAGGGCTGTAGTGGCGTGGTGCTTTTTTTTCGAAGCGTGAGCCAAGGAGCCTCAATTTCGGCTTCAGCGTTGGCCAGGGCTACAGTAAGCTTTTGGACCAGAGCCCCACATACTTAGAGTTTAAAGTTTAGGTTACTGTAAGGTTTGACAAAGGTTTAGCTTAGAGTTTCAGGCTTCGAGACCTTGACCTCTGAATCCTAAACTTGAGACAATATGGGTCACCAGGAACATGGCTGCTTGAATCGTGAGGTGGCAGTTACAGCTGTGGTCGATATGTGTCGATATGAAAGCTACCAAGCTACGCATGATATATGTTTATACTATATATATAGATATAGATATAGATAGAGAGTATCCACTCACATGCAGTCAGTCATGCAGTCTATGGTAGAGAGATTGCACTGAGGAGCGGAACTACTTGGATTCGGCACACCGGTGGCTGGTCCCCAGTCTGGCTGGAGGCTTTGGGCCGGCTGTGCACAGGCCCGTGCAGCTGTTCCTTGAGGGGTTAGGGTTTAGGGTTTAGGGTTTCGGAAGGGTTGCCCAGATGACGTGTGGAGGGGATTCGGAGTTTGGATTTGCTAGGTTTCTTTTGTACATCTTACGCTTGTCTGTGCACTTTTATCTGCTACACATACTACTACTAGAGGTACTACTGCTGCTGCTGCTACTGCCACTGCCACTGCTACTGCTACCACTGCTGCTGCTGCTACTACTGCTGCTGCTGCTGCTGCTGCTGCTGCTCCTGCTGCTACTACTACTACTACTACTACTACAACCATGTATCACCACTACTCCCACCCGCATAACCACGGCGACGACGACGACGACGACTATACTACTACTCCTGCTGCTGCCTCTGCTTCTGCTGTCACCACCACGACGACAACAACAACAACAACAACTACTACTACTACTACTACTGCTACTAAGAAGACGACGACGACGGCTACTACTACTACTACTACTACTACTACTAAGAAGACGACGACGACGACTACTACTACTACTACTACCACCACCGCCACAACGACGACGACTACTGCTGCTGCTGCTGCTGGTTGCTGCTTGTACTTTTTGCTGCTGCGGTGCCACTATGGCTACCATTGCCAAGACTGGTACTGCTGGCACTGCAGCTTATAAAGCTCCTGGTGGCTGGTGACTGCAGCATTTATAAGTGTAGTGGCAGGTTGTAGAATCTACAACTCAATAGTAACGGCGACATTGCTGGCAACAGAGTTTACGACATTGGCGGCTGGAATGGTGGGGCATGAGCGAGTATCAGAAAAAGTGCCATGGCATTTGTAATGTGGATCCATCTATGTTTGTTGCAGAGAACAACACTGCTGTACTTGTGATCGTCGTGCAGATCATGACAGAATCATGATCGTACTAGCACAAACAACAACGTTCGTACTACGACGGTTGCGTGATTACGCGTACATGGTCATCGTTTGATGTTAAGACATGGTTTTCGTAATGACCTCAGAAGTACTTCGCCGTCGTTGCCCTCTTTGCACTGGAGACCAGGAGGGATTGAAGGACGAACGGGAGGAGGAGTGGGACGAGCAACAACACGCGTAGTAGAGTGGCTAGTGACATTGGTAGCAATCGTCGGCCCCGTCGGCATGGCCCTAATAGGGAGTGGGATAGTCGTACGATTACTCATGGCAAGCGTGTCGAACTGTAGTCGCCGTCGTGTTAACAGCACAACACAGTTCCGTAAGGGGAAATGGAAAGTGCGGCAGGCCTTACACCACTGCCCTCCACCATCGATGCCTTGGAGAAGCGTGGCGATGCAAACGGCGGCCTGGCCTTAGGGTATCGAATTCAGTTCGCTTTGTTGGACTGCTGCTGCCAAGGCTTCAAGTTCTTCCGCTTTGTGGTGACGAAGGTGCGGGGTGGTGACACAGTAAATGGCGTATCCCTTGGCCAGCTGCTGCTGCGGCGAGAGGGCGTGGAGCTGGATCTCGCAGATGCCACGGCCGAGAATCCCGACGGCCAGTTCGCAGACAACGAGGGCCCAGGCAATGCCATCGACGGGCGGACGAGCACCCGGTGGCACAGCTCGGTCTTGAGCCCCTTGCTCATCAAGCTACCCAAGCCGGTGCTCATCGACAGCTTCAGCTTCCGCACGGGGCCCAGCGACGAGCAGCTAGATCCTGGGCTTTTGTTGTTAAGGAGTTTAGTCGAAGTTACCACAATAAAGAAGCTAAGCTATCTACTGTAGATCCCTACTATCATGCTACGGAAAACCTACATCATTCATGATGGATCCCTAGTATAAGGTAGCTTAACTTGAATTCATTCTAAGACATTTTCAGGTGGGTAGTTGGAGCCTTATGGAAGGTCCATATTATAGAAGCTCTATATACCCTAAACTCCCCATCTGTAGTTTCCTTTAACTCATGAACAAGAGCCGAGGATCCCGTGGAGTGGCGCCTCGAGGCGTCGAATGACCAGAACACCTGGAAGAGCTTGCACAGCCAGGACAGCAGCTGCCCGGACTGAGTTTGAGAGATCTTATGATGGTGATCAGTATAATTACTGTTACATTTTATTTTTTCAGCCATTATTTTGGTATATAGTTTCAATCATGAAGAACATTAGGTTCTTAGGTTCTTATTCTCAACATGGAGTTTCTGAGCTTTCTGGGTCTTGATTCGTCATGCGCACCAAGCCCACACCTAATCTAGGTCCTTGTTGGATACAATTTTAACATTTTGTTTATAAAAAACCCTAAGAAGGATTAAAGATGAGCATTCCTAACATGGCCCCAACAGTGAACCAGTTATAAGAATACCTCTAGATCTCCAAACCCTAAACCCTAAGCCCCAAACCCTAACCCTAAAACCCTAAACCCTAAACCCTAAACAACCCCCCCCCCC